CTTTTAGTAAGCAATAAATTGCCATGTTACAAGCTTGACTGATCATTTTAAATTGGTTTTTAGCATTGTTATTACCACATTCAGGGGTTTTCAGCAAGTGCTGCTCAACTGCAGGAACAGATCTAACAGTAGACATACTATTTTGGTTATTGCAAGCAAGGGTTGGTTGAGTATGATCTGTACACTGTCTTTTTCAAACAACTAAAGGTAAACACTATTTAATTTGATCAGCAGACCTTCGGAACATGTGGTCAACATGCCTGGCATTGTACCAGCATGGAAAATCATACATGACATTGCCAACTGTGTGGTAAGTACTGCTAGATGTGATTCTATAATTGTACAACATGTGTGGAACAACCCAAGTGTGCTAATATTTTCACCAATGATCACTTTTAGATTAACATATGAAAATGTAATGTACCTCATTTATGGTTGCCAGAAGAAATATACATTAACAGACAATGACTCAATCTTGGCAATTAAGAGGAATAAATTCAAGTCTTTCTCCATTTTTGATTTATCAAGAGACTTGGGGAGCCCAAAATTCCACACTGCATTCTCCAGGGCAACACCTCAGCCAATCAGAATGGGCTTGCCAACCAACTAACATTCTTTCTTCCTTTGGTATGAATTGGTGTGATCATTTGTTATTTAGCATTCTTACATTTGACTTGATGGGTACATGATGCAAAGCATCAACAAATGATTTCTCTGTTCAGAAATATTCACGTTCTGTTACCTTTTCTTTGAATATCAATCCCAGTCCTCCAGATCAACATTATTCTTTTCCCTTTTGTTTTCCTGTTCTTTCATTTAGTTGTATGTTATTGCTTATTTCTTTTGCCTATCAGAGTGTATAAGCTTATTACTTAGAGAAAAGAGTGTGACCATTCAGCCAAGGCTGGCAACCAGTATATTGAGCCTGTTAGTATGATAACTGAACTTTAATATCTGCATTCACTTAAGGAAAACAATACTATCGATGTACATCTAGTATCCATATGATATTGGTACCGAGAATAATGTTTACACTACAGGCCCATGACTTTTCAGAAGGATAAGAGTATTGCAAATAAACTAAGGATTTTACGTAGTTTAATAAAACTGAAGTAAGATATAAAACTATTTTACATATTAGAATTTTATTTTATTTCTAATATCTGTCTGAGTAAAATTTGTTTAAATAATGACTTATATTAATGGTTTTGCAATCACACTTCATGTGGATGTGCCTGGGGTAAAAGGAATACTGAGGTCTAAAGAATGTTTTGTAATTTATTTCAGCTTAAAAGTGAAAGGAATACAAGGTTCTCATCAACTAAAGTAAATATTTAAATTGCATTCACATTTCAAAGTGTTTGTGCCAAGAATTGGAGGAAATGTAACCGAGTTGCCAAATTCCCATAATAGTCTTTAGGAGTCACTTGACAATTTAGCACTCCCATTCATTGCATATTGCTATTTGGATTTGGAAGAAGAGAATTTGCAATTGCTACTTGCACAAATTTGAATGCGGCCCCAATTCAGAATTTGGTCTTCCCTCAATACCAGTCAGTAAATGCATAAAATCATGAGAATGAGGGGCTGTTAAGATTTGGGTAGCACTGGCTGGACTAGATGCTTGCATCAAGCCAATTTCCCCCGTAAACAAGCTGTTCGGTCTTTGCATAGATCAGGAGAGCATGAAATACTCTTGACTTTGATAACATCTCATTCAAATGAATGTCAGAGGTGGAAAAGGGAGACAGCAAAGCCATGGACATTATCTTGAACAATTAATAGAATGGAAAAATGGCATCTTGATGCACTTATTGAGCTGGAAGGATGAAAGAGGCAGTTGTACACATTTCTTTCTCAAATAAAAAACTGTCATGGAAACTTGATCAGATTATAGAGGTGCAGAAAGATAACTTATGATGAAGCATGATCACTATTCAATTTGAATACGAGAATTTTGTTTTCTTTCCTCATTTCATTTATGTGCAGAAAATATTTTAGGATAGCATTGGAATGTTTGTTTCTCCTGTGATTTGTGTTCATGTGGTATAGCAATCTGGTGAGAAAACCCCGATCAATTGACAAAATTTTACTTCACATTAAAATTTCAAGAGCACATTATTTTTCCATCTTTTGTTACTAAAATCTCCCAGTTCTGAAATCAAGTCTTTCCCCACAAAATAGAGCATAAAATGTTTGCTAGGTAAACATCATCTAAAGAAAGATCTGAAATTACTGTGAGAATAGAAAAAAAAACATTCAAAATTCTCCAGTCCATTTTGATGGAATTATGATATTTTTTTAACCAGGTTACAATGTTTGTTACAATAGCAGACAATTATGCACATACATCAAATAACATTATCACAGAGGGTGTCTTCAATTCAAAAGTCTCACCATCAAGATCCCACATTTCAAACAAATATCAAGGTGTTACGAATGATTTTGGCTAAATAGGATTTTTAGGGCTTTCTGTTTTTTTTTTCAACTGATAAAAATTGAAGAATAAGCTTATTATGAGAGAATTGTCTTACAATTAGCTGCCTGTGTAGCAGAGTAAAATAATCTAAAGAGCTGAAAGTTTGCAGCTGAAGAGAATGGGGTAACTTTAGCAGACAGATTTGCAAGCAACCCCTATCACCTCTTTTTAACTTCACAATTATACATGTCATCATCACAGGAGAAATGTTGAAGTAGAACATGAGTAAAGAGATGGACATTTTTAGTCAAGATAGAAAACAGTTGATCTGTATTGCATTCCTAAATGATCTCTGGCTAGGTGTTTTGATAAGATAAACAATTAGTTTACTTAATCAAATACTTGTGGATATTTTGGAAGTTCGATCTAGCACAATCTTATACTAGGAATTTGAACTAATTTAGTATATGTCTCCTGATTTTGTAAGGGAGTTGGAATCCTGTACATAGCACAATCTTGCATAAATGTTGAATATAAGATTATGTCTACTTGCCTTAATTTAGCTTCACACTCCATAATAATCTATCTGGACAGTTGGAGGATGACGTGAGCCTTCATCATTTCAGCAAATTTACACCAAAATTCAATAAAAGGAGAAAATGTGACGAAACTCTATAAAACCCAAATCACAGAATATTCTGGAAATCTGTCCACTATTTTTATATATGGAATTCTACTCTTTTAAATGTTATTATCTGCAGCAAGCTTCCTGATAATCTTCCCGTCAATTCAGCTGAATTGTGAGCCATCTCATGAGATTTGTCTGTTTTTTAAATGGCCCTAACTAGAAGATTGCTTCTATTAATATGTTCTTCAAAAGGATCCCATCTTTTCTATTGCAGTTTTTTTTCTCTTCTTTCCCTGGCCATCATCCAGCCTGAATTGAGAGAAGCAAAACCCAATCTCTAACAAAGTTACTGTAAATGCAGTCCACTAAGGAGTTCATAAAAGCAGCTTTGAATGGTTCTTTCTCCACTCTGTCTTCCCTCTGTGGAAAATGTTTTTTTTAAATGAAAAGATATGAAGCAAATTTCTTTGCACATCAGATGAGGTTTTTAAATATATTTTTCAACTTGACAGACTTATCAGGAGCTAAGCATCTTGAAGGAAGCTACGAAAGCTCCACTGCATACAAATGACTTCTAAGGGTGGTTAGGTTAGGCAGCAAGATCGAAGTGTGATAGTATTCACAGGTCTGCAAAAGCTGGAAATTGCTGCAAGAAGTCCTATTTCTTTTTCCTGACAATTTTTTACAGCCAAATTTCTCCCATTGCCACTTCCTTTCCTTTTCTGTTGGCAATGATTTGTTATCAGGGATGACTCTACATTTTCCACCCTCCAGCAGATTGACAAGTGGCAGCTGTTCCCTGCTTGAATCTTAATGTTAAGTGCCATGAAATTATTTCATTAGACGCTGATCCTGTCTACATCCATTTCCAAGAGATACCTGTTGATTAAATCTACCCAACCTAGGCATGTGTAATTCTCTCAGCTAAATTCGGAATAATCCTCAAGTGATTGTCCTTTGTATGGATAAGCTTCCGATTGGGTTAACTCACTAAGCTTTTGGAATTTTCAATTTGTCTATAAGTAGCATGAAAAATCAAGGAAAAAAAGTATTTCACTTTGAAAGGAACACAATCCATGTTGACACCATTACTTAATTGCTGTGAAAGGTATGCGCAAAATTAAACTTTTTTATATCAAATCATTTGCAGGGATATTGATGGTATGAGTCAGCTTCATTCAACAATATTAAGCACATTTGAAACATCACACGAATCAGACAGCAGTATAACATACATTGTAATTACTACACACATCTATTGAACTTTGAGGCCATAAGAAAAGAAAGATGGAAACAGTAATATTCAGAAAAAAAAATCATGTATGGATTGAAATTCAGAGTGAGTGAAAGGATTAAGTCATGAGTGTGATGTAACATATGAGAACGAGCGTGACAAATCCCAACATAAAGACAGAAAATGTTAAAATGTGGTTGGTTCCATCCTTTGAGGTCAGATCTAGACAGTGGTCAGTGCAGACAAACCAAGTCAGAACTGAGAATACAGCCTAGTGGATCCACCCTCCAGGGGGTCTTTATTAGAATTTAGGAAGATTAGTAACATGCTTCTGAGGCCGTCTATTTGAAAATGGCAATTTTTCTAAGAATTTATCCTGGGTTGGCTTTAAGCCTGTTTCAGATGGGGAGCTGAGAAACAGAGAATGAAGATTGGAACTGCTGGATTTTAAATTTAAAATAATATGTTGTACCGTATTGAGTTGAATTAGATTGGATTGGGAGAACAGTTAGTGTTGGGCCTGATAGATTGTGCCAATGCATTGTTGCAAAACAGGAGAGCTTTAGTTTTGTCACAGGAGTGACAAGGAGGATGTGTGAAGGTGCACAAGTAGAAAGTAAAGGTTAGAAAGGAGAATAGAGGGAGAATCTAGGAGAACAGCTAAATCAAGAGGCCAAACTATACAGTGTTCATTTTCCTATAAAATAATTGAAACTTACTATTACAAGGCTGCTTATTGCATAATCTTCCTTCTTCTGAAACTCCTTCACAAACAAACCCTTCCTCTAACTGGGAATGGCAGGTCCTGCTTCGGGTCTGCAATCCACCCCCACACGATTTGGTACAGTCACCCCAAGACGACCAGGCATTCCAGCCACCTAGTCAAGAACCAGAGCAGTATGAGATACAGGACTTTATTGTTTTTTTTTAAATTTCCCGGCGCTGCTAAGCTACATTCACTAACTACAAACAAGCCTATAAGAATAAATGAATGCATCATGCAATCAAGGTTTACCAGCAGGACCAGGGAAGCACTCTGCTTCTAGGCCCCTTCTCTCTTTCCTTTCCTCCACTTATTAGTCTACAGTCAGTGGTTTTCCTGTCAAGAAGGAGGACTTGCTGTGATTGAGGCATAAACAGAAAAAGGATGCATTTGGAGCAATTTGGAGGTTTGTCAGTTTTCGATGGTTGTAATCAGATTTTGGCCTCAATACAAAGAGTTTTTATGCTGCAATCTCCAATTGTTCAAACGTCATTTGAGATAAATTACCCTCAGCTGCTGAATAGGAGTAGTTGAGCTCAATTGAGGATAACCAAAAGATAATGTAACGTCATACTTGAATGGACCACAAGGTTGGCAATGTGGAAAAAATCATTACACAAATAATGAAAAGATTGAAACAAGATCTAAAAAAGAAAATTAAATATGGAAATGCAAAAAGTATTTTTTAAAGTATAATATAAAGACAAAAATGATTTTTTTTGTGTACTGTCTTTGCAAGAAAAATGTGTTAACAGCACATGGATAGGATCAAATCACAAGATGAGCTATTATTTGCTTAGCCAATCATCAGTTATTGAGACAGTGCACAATAGCATTCATTCTTGCTTGCATATGTTAGATATGAACCATGTGTTTTTAATACATAAAAGCTTTGATCGGTTAACAATTGTGTAAACACACACACTAATTGAACAATGTAGGCCACTTTCATCACCATGCTTTGGTTTGTGTTTGAATAGTGCTTAAAATCAAGAAAATCCAAAGGCATCTACACAGCAAATTGCAGGGAGATTAGTGAAAGAGGAGAAAGTGTAGAGTGACCTTAAACCATAAAATTCATAAAATAAGCATTTAGGATTGTGCAGTCTGTCATTAAGAATTGGATTCTCTTTCAACAACTCCCAACTGCCGGTTACTTGCCACACAATTAGCATGGCATTTTTTTCTTGGTTGGCAACTTTGTAATGTCTTCAAAGATAAGGGTTTTTTAAAAATTTCATTTCAGTCAAATACTTTGCTGCAGAAGCATCAATAGTCAATATAAATTTAGGTGAAGTGCTTCTTAGTTGTGAATGAAAAAATGTTTTTGCCTCCAGAAAGAGAGCAGGAGGTAAAGAAGCAAATAAAGGGACAACAGGAGGCTTCAAGGCCAAGCTGAGAGAAAGGAGTATTAGAGAACAAAGGGTAAAGTGCATTCAAAAGAGAAGAGGAAAGGCTAGAATAAGAGTGAGAGCTGTGACAGAAAGAAGGACAAGCAAAGGATACATCTTTGTCACAAATAAAAGAGAGTTGGACAAGTGAAAGAGGGTGAGCAAGCAGAAGGTTCAGCTGATCGATAGATTAAGAGTGCAAAAAGGTCAAAGACCAAAATGGAATATGTTTTCAACAGCTGTAAAGGAGGGTGCAAGAGATAGCAAAACTTCAACAGGTTGAAAAGAAACAGCAAAGCAGAGAAAAAAAAACTGATATTTTTCTTATTCTTTATTCACAGGATGCAGGCACTGCTGGCAAGACCAACATTTGTTGCCCATCACAAATTTCTCTTGGAGGTTGTAGTAAGCCACTTTCTTCAACAGAACTGATTGAATTGATTGGTTATTTCAGGAGAAGACTAAGAATCAACCACAGTGTTTTGAGTCTGGATTCACAAAGATATCTCAACAGATTTCATTCTCTCAAGGGACATCAGTGAATTTGACAGGTTTTTACAATAATGTGGTGGCTTTGCTAAAATTGGCATTTTTAAATTCCAGATTTATTTATTTAATTAATATATCCCAGTCGCTATGGTGAGAATTGAACTCATAATTCTAGATCAATTATCTGAGGCCTCTAGATTATTTGCCCAATAACATAAAAAATAGGCTACACGATTAGTCAGTGAACGAGCTGCTAGCAAATGATAAGACACCAAGATCAGCAAAGAAATAACAAGCGAAATACAGGAACATCAAAGACTGGTCAGGGAAATCAAGGCTGTTATTAAGATTGATAGAAGAAGGAGGACAAACAGGCATGGGAAAATATTGCAATTGATAAGACAGACATGTCGAAAGCTCAGAGATTAAGAATTATCATTCAAATACAGACAATTAGGGAAAAAGCAAATTTTAAAGAACCCTAATAGAATTCTAACAGGGTTCTAATACTGATATTAATCATGCAACCATGCATATTTTTAAACATATATTCATAAAATGAAACCAGTTTGCCACAGATCACCAGCATTTGCTACTTTCCCAGCATCTCTGACTCAGTACTCAGACACTGTTCTGCAAATTAAATGCAATGTCAATATTCACTTATTTTGACAGAAAAATAGTGAATGGGTACATAAAGCTATAAATTAGAAATGCAAGTGAAGATAAGGCACCAGGGAATTAGTACAATGGTTGCAGTTCTAACAGTGATTGTCAACTCTTAAACTGTTAAGAATAAAAAAAAGGAGGTAACACAAATTTAGCGATAACAAGGTGTAGAGCTGGATGAACACAGCAGGCCAAGCAGCATCAGAGGAGCAGGAAGGCTGACGTTTCGGGCCTAGACCCTTCTTCAGTTCCTCTGATGTTGCTTGGCCTGCTGTGTTCATCCAGCTCTACACCCTGTTATCTCAGATTCTCCAGCATCTGCAGTTCCTACTATCTCTCTAACACAAATTTAGTGTTTATTTTCATAAATAGTTAAACAAACCTGGAACTATAAGCTGACAATTAGGTTAATCACAACAATGGGCTGAAATTTTAATATTTTGTCCCATCTTATTCTGCCTCACAACAAACCTCCTTTGGAATAAAATCAATATAAAGGTTTGGGTTTTGATATTAACAGTTGAAGTACACCTGTATTTATTGTTTAGGTTTTTTTTTTCATTCTGTTTATGATGGATCAACAGTGACCAAAGTTAAAATGAGTAATAGAAAATCGGCAAAGTTTTTTTCCACTAACTTCTACAGGAAAGATACTGGTCAAGATTTCCCAGCACTGGCTCTATCTATTGGCCAGAAACCAACTGCATCTCCTACAAAACTAATGAACCGTGCTTGCCTGCCCAAAACCAGACAAGAGGCAAGGAGTCATCCTGCAGTAATGATGAGATCGCATTGCCAAAATTATCAATAATTAATAACTATTAATTTCATCATTTAAAGACAGAGAAGTACATTGAAAATAAATGCATGGATTATATGTCAATCTTGCACATTCCATTTACCTTTGCAGAAATATTCAAAAGATTGGATTGGTAACTGTCCCAAGTTAAAATTAAAACACTGGCATGATCCTGATTCTTACAGAATTATGCAGAGAACTGCAATTGAACACCCACCCAGATGCAAATTGATGAATAAGATTGCATGCCTGTTTACGCCCATCAACTTTCTGCCCATTGGAATCAGCTAAACTAGATTAAACTTGTTCCTAAGATTCCACCATGTCTTTACATTTATTTGAATCTCCCTCAAAGCAGACCAATGTTGCTTTAATCCTATTGGTCTCATCAATCCAAAATAAAGACTCTCAACTGATAAAAATGGAGCTATAGCCAAACCATAGAGACCCCAATCCTTACCAGTCTAGGGCAGTAATGAAAATAAAATTGCACAGGAAACTGTTATCTACACAACCCATTTTTTTGGCAGCCGGAACACCTGTGAGGGGATCAATAATAATGTCAGCCCTCTGCATCTGACATTCTATGATCCTTGTTGCCATTTTATCTCCATCCATTTGTGATTATGCGCAGTTCTCCTTTGTAAAATTTGTGTTCAACAGAGGTAGGGAAGTGGCTATTCTGAGTGGATGTGTAAGACATCCTTATCTAAATTGATGGAATGATGGTTGCAGTTTTGGCACACAGTTCATTTGGTTACTTGTGTGTTTTGAGCCTGAACGGCTTTCGATATTTCATCTCTTTGCAGCTACAAGTGTTGAATAAACATTCTGTGCTGTTGATGAGGAGGGGTTAAAATTGTTTCAGAGATGGTGAGATAACGAGGTGTAGAGTTGGATGAACACAGCAGGCAAGCAGCATCAGAGGAGCAGGAAGGCTGACGTTTCAGGCCGAGACCCTTCTTCAGAAATGGGGGAGGGGAAGGGGGTTCTGAAATAAATAGGGAGAGAGGGGGAGGCGGATAGAAGACGGATAGAGGAGAAGATAGGTGGAGAGGAAACAGACAGGTCAAAGAGGCGGGGTTGGACCCAGTAAAGGTGAGTGTAGGTGGGGAGGTAGGGAGGAGATAGGTCAGTCCAGGGAGGACGGACTGGTCAAGGGGGCGGGATGAGGTTCGTAGGTAGGAGATGGGGGTGGGGCTTGAGGTGGGAGGAGGGGATAGGTGGGAGGAAGGACAGGTTAGGAAGGCGGGGACGAGCTGGGCTGGTTTTGGGATGCGGTAGGGGGAGGGGAGATTTTGAAGCTTGTGAAGTCCACATTGATACCATTGGGCTGCAGTGTTCCCAAGGTTCCCAGGATTCTGTGCTGTTGCTTTCCAATCCTGAAGATTCCAACTCTGCCTTCTGAGGTACTATTGCAGCCCTATCAAAATCACTCGCTCACCAAAATTTCCAGTAGTAGATCAGTGAGCTACCTATAAGGAGGATTGGCTGTTCAGCAAATTTTTTTCAAACGAGGTTCAGCCATAGCAATGTTTGTCCACTGTCACACATTCAACTGCCCTACCCCATCAGATAGTCATTCAATTCAGGTAAATGTTGGACTCCAGAATTTACCGTGTTGGCTCAGGTCAGAGTTGAGTTAGGGCACATTGCTACCTGTTCGGGTCTTCAGACGGGCATCATGCTCTGTGCTGTACATCGTTACATCTCTTAGTGCAGTGAAGTTCATTTAAATATTCACTAAAATCTATCTCAACAAAGCAA